CAACTCGATCTTTTTCTCATTCCACATTCGACGCCACTCGTTCTTTATCTTTGCGATAACGAATGAGTCCGCCGGCCGACAGAGATCCGTTGCGTTTGCTGGAAAGAAGGCTAACGAAGCGTTTAACTACTGACACACATCAGTACAATAGTCTTCCTCAAGGTGACTTGAGCAGTTATCTAGGCCTATAGTCATCTTGCGAACCTAAACGATCCGGCTTTAAATCTCGAGGCTCTTTCAGATACTCGCGAAAGAGACGTTTGTCCATCCAGCCCTTCGGCCCCGTACGATAACACACTCCTTCGACGTCATCCTTAACAGTACGAATTGGATAACTACGATATGCGTTCGTAAAAATCATCATCGGGGGCAAGATACGTGCACTTGGCCCACCGCTCATTCGCACGACCATTGTCATTCCATCCCCTCCGGATACAACATCCGCATATTTCTTCTGGTTTTCGCCTCCAAAACCGAAAGTCTTAAAGTTGTCAAAATCTACAACGAAATGAGTTTCATCGATATTTTCAATCGCATTCTCGTCATACAAACCGCTCTCAAACCCACGCTTCAGCTTGCCAAGGTGATAGGCCACTTGCTTCTCAATATCTTCAACCTTCTGAGGGCTCACCAGTCGTTTACCTGTTACCGCACGAAGTACTATGTTGTTGTTCTCCATAAAGGTTTGCACCCAGCGTGAAGTGATCTTTGTTAACAGCTCAGCCCCGTTCTCATCAGCCTTTGGAGCTTGAGGATCCTGAAGGATACGCTTAGCTACTTGACGTAGCAACGATGCGTCGAGCTTCAACCCCAATTTACGTAATCGATCAAACTCGCTTTGCAACAAAGGATAGATCCAGAGCACCCACTTGCTCCGAGAACGACCTCGGCCGGACAAAACCTTAGAGTTCACTCGCTTTCTTCCATCTGATCGTAAACTCGACAGTGACACAGAACCCCGGAGTGGCGCTTGAAGTTGCTCTCGATTCTTCCACCAGGTCATCGCTTTGCTAAGGTTAGCATTGCGAGTAGACGAGTTAAAAATATCAGGAAATTGATCTACAGCTCTCGCGAACATGTTCTTCGCTCCCTTTGCTTTTTCATATTCTTCCATTCCAGGAGATGACACGACGGCGATGCTGGATGGTGGTAACTGGATGGTGGTAACCTGTTGTGACGCTCGAGATGATGTTGACGTTGGCAACTCAGTCACGACCACATTGGAAATAGAGATTTGTTGTCTTCAGAGCTCTCTTCTGAGTCGTCATCGTTGGCATCATCCTTCGAAGAGATCGAATCTTTTGCTCCCTGTAGCGCGAAAGCTTTTATGATAGGAGGAGCTGATATAGCTTGAGGTTTGCCTGAATCACAGTCTGGACAGAGAACATGCTGTCCAAAGCCCTCTTGTCCGACAGGCTTCCCACAAAATGGGTGCATATGAACAGAGCAGATTGGGCAGACGTGAATAGGACCAACGAGGTCACCACAGCCACCACACGGGGCAAGTTGCGCTGAGTTGGAGCTCATTAAAAGACAGTTCTTAGAGGGAGAAGAGGCGTTGGTGTGTTGGAAGAATTTCTGGAATGAGAATAGACCACATTAGCCTCCAAAAGGCGTTGGTGTGTTGCAGGAATTTCTGGAATGAGAATAGACCACATTAGCCTCCAAGAGACGCAGTCACATAAAAAAAACATTTCCAATTATAAAATATCAAATACTATTCAAATAAGATTAAGGAAACTGCATAGCTATTATTCTATTAAAAGTATAATTCATATCCTTAAAAAACATAACCCGCTGCTTCGTAGTGTGCCGCGTTGAGGGTAAGTGGGAAACCCACTTTTATTAAATGACCTGTTATTGCATCACCAGTAAAACGCGAGCACCGTCCGTTGCTGCGGAGGGACTCGAACTCACGCCAGGAGTGTAAACCGGGCCAGTCTTTTCCACTGCGCCAATTCGAATGCCCAAAATAAGGTGATACTAATTATGAACTCAGACTAATTTTGAACACGACATTTTCTTGCTCACGGTAATTAGTCTCACATTCGAACGGTGTGACTAATTTCGAGCTGTGACTATTTATTCACACAGACTAATTACCGTAGGCACTGCAGTATTAAGTTGTTATTTAATAATACCGTTTTGTCTCAGAGGGAAATATTAGTAGTATTTTTTAATATTGACTGGTCAACAGGTGATATTTTCTCAAGATTAACTTCGCCGATTTTGGAGTTACCCCCTGATCAAGAGTACCCGTTTTTGTCCATGTACACCATTTCTCGGCCAAATTTCAAAGCTTACCAACCAAACTGCAAAGTCACAAAAAATATTTTGTGTACTTCCATAAAAAGTGCATTTTTCCTGTTTTGTAAAACGGATGGATACACTTTTCAGGCAAAGTGCCAAAAGCATTTGCCTCCAGTCGTTTTGCCTAGAGCTACTGTACCAGCAATTTCAGCGCCAACAGATCATTGTGCCTTCGGCTCAGATGCTACAGTGTACATGTAGATTGCTTATTTTTAAATATTCCCTACTCGTCACAGTCCAGCAAGATCAACCGCACCTTTGAGCGAACTCAAGCCAAGAGCCGTGCCTTTCAGGGGAGCTGAAACTGGAGAGATGACGCCAGCTAACGACGTTAACTACTTTACTGCGTGTCGGGTCATCTTAGTACTGGTGAAGATCCCAAGTAGCGTGGCGGCTTGCGCCCCAAATCTGTAAAAATGACATGAGCAAGATTGAAGAACTGCTCGACGAAGACTGCCGTATGACGTTTGAGCAGATGTCCGACCACCTGCACGCTGATCTGGGCGTTAGAGTGAGCAAGACATCCATCCATCGCGCTCTACAGGGCATGTTGTGTTCGACGAAGCGCTTGCTCATCGAGGGAGAGAACATGAACTCGGCCACCAACAAGGAGAAGCGTAAGACCTTTGTTGTGACGCTGAACAAGCACATCAAGAAAGGTAACATGATTGTTTTTCAAGACAAGATTAGCTTTTAACTTGTATTTGTCTCGCAATGAGAGCTGGGCCCGGGTTGGAGTGCGAGCCGCCGTGCGGCAACCTCAATCTAACGGCAAGAGCCTCCACATTCAAGGAGGGGTATCCAGTGGCTCTGGTCTTATCCTGCGCAAACCCATGAAGGATCCGTGAAAAAGACCGAAAATGATCGTTTCATGGCTGACCTGCTCGTCGCTCCTCTCCGCTCGGAAGGGTACGCGGAGCTCTAACCGTCCAGGGTTGTGATCGTCATGGACAATGCACCTACCCACAATGACGTCGAGAGCCTTGCCCGGGAATACCTGGTTCCTGACGGCATCATGAATCTGAACAAGCTCAAAGTTCTGTGACTGGGAACCTACAGCTTAATGTTAAACCCGGTTGAGGGGTGCTGAAACCCCTTGAAGGCAAACATGCGGCACTTCATGGCGGGGCGAACGCAGACGGGTTTGGTACGTGGGGAATACGACACGTTCACGACTCATAGGTTGG